ATATATATACTGTACGATTTTAGCTGTGAGACGTTTTCCAGGCTGAATTATAGTAACTTTGTTTTTTTTATATTTAGACAACTTTGTTCCTTTTGATACTACTACATAATAAATATAGATACATTTACAATATAGATTCATGATATTTTTCCCCCATATCCTTCCTGAACTTTTTCACGAGACGAAACGTATTCGTATATGTGATGTACGATTTTGGCTGTGACTCACTGTATATGTATAGTATATGTATTTATATAGCCAATAAGCAAATTTTACGAGTTACATTCAATGTGAAGTGAAACTATATAAATTTATGGATCAATTCAGTATATACGACTTTAGATTACAACTTAAAAGAATACAAATGTAACATGCAATGTTTAACATTAATATTTAAAAAAGTAAAGATAACGCATTGAATGATTACTGACTAGGGGTGTGTGGGTACTCAAATTCATGGATATCTTTTATGACGTTCGAGTTGGGCGGGTACCGGAAATATACGAGTATCCGGATAACATGAAATTTTCGGATAATACAATGAGTTCGGGCAACCTGACAGTTTCGAGTATTTCAATGTTACTAATATCTGTAGTATAAATATTATGTTACATATATATGTAGATTTAAAAACAATTTATTTAAACAATCTATAGTTCAACTTTTTCTTATTTTACACTATCATACGAAATAATAAAAAGATACGAAATACATTGGGAAATAACAATTTTTAGTATAAAATATTATCTATTTGTACAAAGTTAATGGTACTTACAAAAAACATTGCATTGACTTAGAGTACACATTTTAAATCCATGCAATACATGTACAATATATTTTAAAAATTAAAAAATAATATTAAACACCTCAATAATGTGCTATATCACATAATTGTCTAGCTTTATCATTTCTGTATACATTTAAAAAATATCTAATTTATGTCTTTTAGTATAACTGAATTTATGTGTTGTTGTCATCAATAGTGCATTCTTGCAAATCTTCATAACAACCAATTTTTTTCCTAATCAGGTCACCCCATAAAACGTTACTAGCACAGATTGGACAAGTACCTTCAATTGGTATAATCATATTATCTTTGCAAAACAAATTTGCTAAGCAAATTAAATGAGCTACTAGCAGACAACTAGGTTTTATACAATGAAGTAGCTGCCTCTGTTCTACAAATAAACCACATATAGAACAAAATATAGTAAAATCATCTAAAATTTCCGTTTCATTATCAATATTATTTTGTGACTTTTTTATCTTTTGAGAAATTACTTTTCCACAGCATACAGGCATATGCATTGGAGCTGAAATATAAGTGGAATATTCTTTAAAAAATTCATAGTCTAACCAACGTATTATCAAAGGTAATCGACACCATGGTCCAACTTTTAACATTTCTGTTAAAACTGTTAAACAAAATTTAAACGTTTTTTGTTGTGACCGTTTCTGAGGCAAATGCCTTAGACGTCGACTAATATGAGGATGTTGCCAAGCCCATTCAAACTAAAAATAAAAATTTAATTGTTACTCCTTACAGTTAATAATAGGATTTTAATTTTAATTACAGAAATAATAAAAGTTATTTGTGTGCTTACAAGAACAAGTAAACCTACCCTGAGTGCAGATGTACTGTTTGGAAACCCATGAACAATCAATATCATGTTCCTAAACATAAAAAACGAAGGCTTCATAAAATTAACTAATAATTAATAATTAATAGAAATGATATTACCATGGTCCTTTATTGTTTGTTTTCCTAGCTCCTCCAACATCTATACCACCATTATGTTGTTTAAGTCTTCGACAAGGATTAACTGTGTATCCTATGTATGTTCTTCCTTTATACTTGGGATTCATACAATACAATAAATATACTCCAAAAAAATGTTCTATTACTTCTACATCCTCCATTTTAATAAATTATTTGTTAACCTAAGTTATAACATGTTAATACTCATTTATTTAATTTCATTTAACTTTGCTACGGCCCTCAGTTCAGTTGTATATTTGAAATAATAATAACAAAAGAGACATTATTAACAGTTTATAAATTTCTCAAAAAGATAAACATTCCTGAAAGACTAAGAATATGGTTAGATAGAAAAAGTATAAACATATATGACAGTATTAAAAAGAAATAAAAATGGGATTGGGTCAAAAATGACCCGAAAATGTAATGAGGTTAAACATCTACGATTGTATATAACCTAACATTCAGTTTGAAGTACAAATTAACCCAACCTTTCCTGAAAGACAACGTTTGCGTCAGATATAAATATGAATATAGTCACACAATTTTGTTATCAAAATAATTTTGATGTATAGAACTTTTAAACACAGTATAAATATTTTATTATAAAATATACTTTAATAAAATAAATAAAAATTAATATTGAAATTAAGAAAATTAATGTTCTCTTCATACGAAAATTTTAATCAAATTAATAATAAAATAATATATAGATATTTATTATTTATTATAATATTATTAAGATTATTACATCGTATTAAAAAAATATGGAGACTTTTAGAAATTTTATTTATAATATACCAGTATATCCTAAAATATGTGTTATAATATTCATTAATGAAAAGCGTAAAAGTAAATGGATAATATTATCGTAAATTTATTTACTTCAATTCCTAAAAATACATTTTACAATTTTCAACAAAGATTGATATATATATATATATATATGTATATAGTAGTATAGTAATGAAGTACATTGTAGAGGATATTGTGAAAATTTGTTGAAAAACATGTAAGTCCATTTATTTTTTAAAGTTCTATAAAATGATAAATAATAAAAGGCTTATCAGAATACGCAGGCGTTGTAGCGCTAAACTTTGTAAGCGCTATCAATGTAAAGTACTTTCCATGATTGTAAGTCTTATTCAGTATAAAAAGAAAAAATCGTGTCTGAAGATTATGAATAAGAATAAATCAACAACATTAGACGATAATTTTATTGAAAGTTTTGATCGAAAGCGCCGTATATTTAATTGCAGTGCTGACGAAATCGGGCACTGATCTTAATTGGACGCAGAAGAGCAGAGATCACTACACAAGGATTCAGTAAGAATGGCTGCCGTTTTGAGAAGATTCAGAGCCGCGCAGATTACAGCGATCGGCAATTTTAAATTACCGTCGTTTTCTAACAGCCGGTAGGCGAACACGATTCCAACAGCTTGGGGAACGCTTCTTTTTTCATATGTTTCGCGTATAAACTTACGCGAGCCAGTCTAAGCGGCGGCGTTTTAGGGCAATAGCCACATCGTGTGTGTTGTAGATCTTTTGCAAGTTCATCGATTCTACATAATGACAGTAAAGGACAATGGCGACAAAAATCCGATCCAACCAAAGAACCTCACTCACGGATGCTGTCGGATAAAGGAGTTATTTATGCCTTGCACACGCACAACATGCGACCTGATTCCATTGACAATTACTTGACCAATTAGTAAGTGAATTTCTAATTTTCTTATTTTTATCTTTTTATCTTTTCTGGCCAATTTCGATATCAAGTTATTGTTTTGAATTGTAGGAAATAAAATTTAGAATAATTATACAAATCATTTTTTTCAAGTCTTTTTTTTTGAAGCCTGAAAAAAAATATTAATTTTTATACATGCTACAAAATTAACATATGCAAAAAACTCTTTTATAATATAAAATTTTCGGATATTACAGTGAACAGATTGTTAACATTCTAAACTCAAAACAGTCTGAATTAAAATTGGAATTAGTTGGTTCATGGACTGTCACAGCTGGTGATATCGATCAGGCTTTACATCTGTGGCGTTATAATGGTGGTTATGATAGCGTTGATCGTGCACAAATTGAGTTATCTAAGGATACAGTATGATATTATTAAAAAATTTATTTATGTGTGACATATATAAAATAAAACTATAATAACACGTTGATATATTTTTTAGACATATCAACAGTTATTTAAAGAAGGTGGCAAATATGTACGATCACGTTATTTGCAATATTTATTAGCATTTAGCTATTGGCCTATTCCGACAAAACGAGATGATTCAAACATATATGAAATACGCAGTTATAGACTCAATGCTGGTGGAATGATAGAATGGGGTAATAATTGGGCAAAGGCCATTAATTTTAGACGCCATAACAATGAACCTTTTGGTGGCTTCTTCTCACAAATCGGTCGATTGTATAATGTCCACCATATTTGGTGTAGGTATTAATGTTGTGGTAAAATTATTTTTCATTTCACATTAAAATTATCTTGTTTCAGTATTAATGTAAAATTAAAACAATTCTAGGCTATAAAAGTCTTCAAGCACGAATGGAAACTCGAGAAAGTGCATGGAGGTCTCCAGGATGGGATAGATGTGTTGCGCATACAGTACCAATAATAAGAGAAACACATTCCCGTATTTTAAGTCCCACTAATTTTTCACCAACGAAATAAACATTTTTTTATCAAGTTAAATACATTTGTATATTTCAACTTTATTCTTTATCTTTATATTATAACATTCTAAAGGCATTTGTTATATATACACTACATTTATTACCATGTAAAGTATGTGCTCAATATAAGGGATTGTAATACTTTATTGTATTACAAATGCTAAAATATATTTTAATAAAATTTTATTTTCTTTGTTACTACGGTGCTTCATGATACATCATCATTGTCAACTTCAGCGCAACGTCTGTATATAAATGAGAATAATCAGTTATATATATATATGGACTTCTGTATTATCCTTTATTAATATATACTACTCATAATTTCATTTTTAATATGATATAGACTAACACTATAATTTGATAAAGACTTATAATAATAAGTATTTTAAGAAACATTTTGGTACAGTACAAATTTTTATTGACATAAATGATAATAAAAAGAAATTAATGTACGAAATGAAAATAATAAAACACATAATTAAATACCTTTCTTTTTATTATCTAATTAATACATTAAATTTTATCAATTTAAATTAGTTATTAT